TAGCCCTAAATCTGCGACATCTGTTATATGACTGCTTTCTTTAAACCTTAACACTGAACTAAAATGTATTCTCATCTCTAAACAAAGCAGTTATTTGCAAATAGCAGATTTAGACCTATTATATAATACGTACTTGTCGTGAACTCATAGTTGAATAATTTCCACTATACTAAATTATTTTATATAGCTCTGGAATAGTCTCCTGCCCCTGAATTCAGCCTGATTCTGTCTTATGATTCGGCTGCAGTCTCTCTTATTATCTCATTTACGTTTATCCCGTGTGTCTTTTGTTGCATCTTCCTTTCGCAATATTGGTTTTACTTTCTTTTTACCCACACTTGTATTGTTTTTCCTTTGCCATGTTTGTAAAGCACTTTGGCTCATTTCCTGTTGTTTTCAACTTGCTTTATAAATAAATCTGACTTGACTTGAATAACTTCTTTACACTGGGGATGATCACCAAAAGACTAATTCTGAGGGACAGGAATAATCACCTTTCCTTTGATGAATTGGATGGCTGATATGATCTTGATCATACAGAGGAAAACACTAACATTTTTGAAAACCAGCTCAACTCAAGAAATGTCCTCTATTCAGGACCCATTCCTCATGTGGGTGAGGCCAGGGAGGACTGAGTGACTCTTTCAGCTTATTAATGAAATGTGTTTTAGTGTTTGAGATATAACACACAGCACTTATGAATATACTCTGCACAACAAGCAGCCTTTTAATGTGTAATGTTGATTTTCCTTCTATCTCTCAGTCAATCTTCTGTCTGGTTGTCTTTGTAACCAAAATAAAATCTTTAAAAAAAATGCACTGATCAGCCACAACACTGAAGCACTGAAGCAATTACCTGTTTTAATGTTACGGATGATATAGCCTGTTATTTTCTCCATGATCGGTGACCTGTTAACTAATCTGTTTTCTACCAGATAAACATCTCTGACTGCTTTGTGCCCACAATATTAATGTGAAAGCTTCACTCGGAGTTTGCCACCGTCACATGTCTGTCAGCTCAGGACGACGCCAGTAGTGTTGTTGTTAGATCAGGCGGATAAAGTCTCTGGCTTGTCTGCACTGGTCCCTGCACTTTACATTGCTGTAGCCTACCAGTTCTCCCACTTTCACATGAGGGCAGGTTGTGTGTAGTCAAACCTTGAACAGCAAAGACACAGGAACACAATCCTGTTTCATTGATAAAACAAGCATTTGTTACGGATAGGGAGTGATTGTCTGAAGACTCACTACTTTACAGTGACCATAAGAACAAGGGGAGGGGAGCCAGAGGTGACCTCAATGACTCAAATTCAAATGTTTTAGATTTACAATATGAGCTTTTATGAATGGATGTAGATTCAACAACAATGTATAAACCACCTGAACCAGCGTTAACAAGAAGATGCTGCCCTGTTCAGCCATAAAGTGACACTCATTTATTAAAGTAGAGTTAACTGACAATAATTCCATACATTAACCTTAAAAATGGAGGCAATTTGTGAATTATTATTATTATTATTATCACTTTCATCATTGAGTTTGCTCAGTTTTCCTGTAACTGAACTTACCTATAATCACTGAGAAGTAAATTGATTTAGACTACAGACAAACAGGTCAGAGAGAATCTGAATTATACCCTATAATCAATTTTATTTTAATTTAAACATGAATAGCCTACAAATAAGCACAACTGAACTTGACATTAGAAATCTAACAATATAAATATTGAACCTCTGTCTATGTCAGTCAGAAACAACATCGATGTTTCATAATGTATTGGAAATAAAAGCTATCACACTTACTCTTAACATGACTATAGGTTGAATATATATTATATATAATGTGATGGCACATGTTAGAGTTCAGTTTTCAGTGCAAAAGTCCTTCACATGGCATAAGGCAAAAACTTTTCTACAAAGATTAAAAACTATACAAACACAGTTTAAGGAGAAAAAGTTTGCACAGCTGACAGAATCTATAGGAAGGCCTACAAGGGTATACAAAACACATTGGTATTGGTCCCAGTATAGATTACTATTGGCTAGTGTAAGTCTTCATACATTACCTTGGTTGTCCTAAAGAGGAGGAGGTTTAGTAAAGAACACCCACAAGAAAGCATCTCATCAAAAAAAGTTCCCAGAAACCTCCAAAAGTGTGAAGAGTTGAATGGCTACAATTATAGTATAGGCAGCACAGGCTATAATCAATATAAAGATCAGTTCAATTATCTGGGTCTCCTTTGCTCCATGCCGTTGGGCAGAAATCCTGCAATGATGGGCACCGGCCATATGAGAGCAGCAACACTCCACACGATGATCACCAGAGTCATGAAACAAGCCACAAGTGTCGACTCGATGGGTTTTCTGTTCAGCCTCCAACTTTTGTCCCCCTTCAGCTCGTCGAGGCTGAAATCCACGCAGCAGAAAGCGACCTGGTCCCCGCTTTGCTGGCCCCGCGACCGGCCCTGACCGAACTGCCGGTACCGGGACATCCCGCAGCCCACGCACAGCCTCAGCTCCTGCTGACCCCCGGTGACCCCGAGGTGCTCGACGACGACGGGCGAGATGGCCCTGTTGAAGGAGGCGGAGAAGAACGCCCTGCCGTGGTTGTTGGTGGTGTAGAGGAGCACGTCACACTGGAAGCCGAAGCTGCTGTCCCAGCTGGCCACCAGCGAGGTGGGCAGCAGCCGCTGGACGCTCACGTTGCACTGGGACAGGCTCTGCAGCGGGGACGAGGCGGCGGCGGCGGCGGCGTCAGGGGAGGCGTCGTTCTCCTCCACGCTCCTCTTGGAGAAGCGCACGTCCACCTCCAGGTTGGCCAGGAACCTGTTGGAGGAGTTGATGGGCGGCAGGAGCAGGTCCTCGTCGCTCCAGCCCTGGCATCGCTGGAGGAGTCCGGCCACTGCGGTCAGAGCCAGCAGCAGGGTCGGGGAGTTGTTCAGCATGGCACAGGGCGCGTCTCTCCTGCTCGCATGGTCTCTGAGACTATCCGCGGACGACGGACGGACGGACGAGGCGCGCAATGCTTGGAGATGCCACTCACTCCGGTGGTTTTTAAAAAGCTGCAGGTCCAGATAGAGGGATTCAAAACCCAGCCTGACTGGCACAAATGGAAAGGTGGAAAGCTTGTCACATGCATGCGCGCATCCCAGCCCCCCTCCCGCTGGAGGCTCTCCTCCTGACTTGGTCTCCAAATAAATAAATGTGCCGTGCTGTGGCTTTTCCAGGAGAGAGGCAGGATGAGTAGCTCCGTGCGCAGAGCTTCATCATCACAGCTCCCAGCTCCTCTGTCTCTTCAGGTGTGAGCTGAGCTCCAAACACATGGGCGGTGAGGAGAGACCCTCCAGTGCGCAGGGACAAAAGTGGTTCACATACAGTAGGCTATACCTTCTTCAATCAACAATCCAAGTTTAAAAGATAGGAGGACCATGTCTGAGCTCTCACCTGTCTCCCAGGATGAGACATGTGGCAGTGGCACACTATTCAGGTCCACTTGTGGCACCGACCTGACCAAACCATTGAGTCAGAGCCAAGACTAGACATAAATCAAGAATTTATAATGTTAGACGATAAAAATTGAAAGATATTTCTCTTTAAAAAGACATTAAAGAGAAATCCTCCAAGACCTTTTTTTAAAATGTACATATTTTTGCACAGTTTTTACAAAAACTATGAACCATAGATTCTGTTTTAAAAACCTTCTGTGAACTGCCATCAATAAAGATTTGTCAGGGAAGCTGGGAATGTTATTTATCTTATCTATGTTGTTTGATTAAAGAAGTCGAAGTCAATGGTGCTGAAAATAATATTGGAAACACTAAATTAAATAACCATTTGTGCAACAATATCAGCCAGTCAGTCCACCACTTTGGTTGGGCCTGAAATATTCTAAAATCTATTGAAGTTTGTACAGACATTCATGGTTTTAAGATAATGAATCCAATAACCCCCACCCCCTTGAGCAGAAAAGTATCTTTATTTTTTTTAAATTGATAATTCACATGAATTAACTTGAGTCCAACATGTAAATGTGCCTGATTTAGCCATACAGGCTAGTTTTTACTAGCTACATTTGACGCAACCAGGTCAACATGGAGCAGGAAAACAGAAATGTTTCCAACATTCTGCTTTGAAGAACTGAGGCATAGAGGGGCCTTGCATACTAGTAGTGCTCCTAAAAAGTGCTCTGTGACTGCATTTGAATATTTGGAGCTCTGGTGTCTGTGAAGGCCACTAAGCCGAGAAACATGGTGGGATTTCAGGTGACAGAGAGTAACCAACGAGGTCACACCAATAAATTGGACTGTTGTTTCATCAGAGAGACTGAGCTAAAAGATAAGAAGTTAATCTGTGTGCCATGCAGGAAAGATTAACTCCCAAACCTCTATCTAATCAGAGTACATTCACTGAGTCGAACACAAACCACGGCCACTGAATAATCAGTTCCGCTGAGCAACATGGATTTAAGAGCCTTGCTCAAGAGCACCGCAGCAGTTGAGATGAGGTAAATTATGTCAAATATAAGGCAGGAGTGTCAAAATGCAACGCTTTGGAAAAATAAAGTGAAATTGTTGTCATTTGAAAGATTTTCCCTTCATTCAGCGATAAAACATTTATATCAAGAACCTGGTTTTGTCACACTCTCAGTTTTTCTGTGCTCAATCTACACAAATGTAAAAGTGCAAGGACCCAGCTCATACAAAATACTCCCATTGTAAAATCCATCTCTGTATCTTTTCTACTCAGTCATGAAATCATCTGCTCTGTGTGCTGCATGTACGACCAGATACTAAACAAAGAAAAGACTGTGTGAGGTTTGTGTCTAAACGGTTATTCTGAAACACAGTTGCAATTCAGCACACTCAGGGATCAAATCAAAAAGTTCACATTGCTATATTTGCAGTGGAGTTTTTCTCCTGCTTTAGCAGCTTCTCACAGACAGCTTTTCCAGTGGAGATCGATCTTACAACAGCGGCCGCATCAATTTCTCTCGCTGAGTTGTAAAGCATCAGGTTTGGTAGCAGTTGTATTAATAGCAACATCACAATGTGCCTGTTGCAGATGATAAAAAGTTATATCTTACAAGTTTCTGTATGAAAACACCACAGAGTCCTACGTCCATGACCCATTTGCTTTGTTTATTCATCTGTTGTCTGCTCTTAGAGCTGTGTTGGTTGGTGATTGTTGCTCTCGGCCATGTTGTTGTGTGCTCAGGGGCAGCCAGACACATCAATAAACATGTGCCTCCGCTGTGGTGGAGCAGCAGGGGTTTTGTACACAGCAGCATGTGTCACCTGGCTGCAGTATCTGATGCTGAAGAGGACACAGTCACTCCCGCCTCCCTGCCTCCGCTACACTATTTGTTTTTTGGATCCTGCGCTTTTATCACAAACAGCAAATCTGATCAGAGCTACAGCTGGGGACACAACCGCAGCTAATCTCAATTTTGGGGAGTTCTAATAAAAGTTTGAACATGAGGATTGTAGTGGCTGAACATCTGGTCCGTTTTTGGCGAGGAGCGTAATCGAGCTGCGGTCACATGTGAGCTGTGGTTGGCTCAAAACCTCGCTTTGCACAGAGGCAACACGTGTCCTATAAGAGACAAGAATGAAGAGACATAAGAGGCTGACCTTCCTCACTTTCATAGGACTGTCAAGAGACACGCAGACCAGACATGTTTTCAACATTTGCTTCATACCTGCCTTTGCTCAACCATAATTAAATCTACTACTGTACACTCCCCACCCACCTCTGTCTTCTATTGTACATTTCTCTAACCCTAATTAATGCTAGCGTTTTAACCTGAATCTGTTTGTTTGTTTGTTTGTTGGTTATTTCTTAGCAAGATTACGAGAAAACTTATTCACAGATTTCCATGAACCTTAGCGGAAGGATGGGGCCCGGACCTGAGAAGAAGGCATGTGGACAAAGGGGTGGATCCATAGACTTTTTTATAAAGATGGATGACATGATTTGCTCCCTAAAAGTGAAGCCAAACCACCACTCATGGCTACTGGGCAGCTCATGTTCCAAATGCATGTTGGCGTTCGTAACCCCAATATGTCAGCTTCATTTCTGGATAGTGACAGAATGTGCTCTTGACAACCACTTGTAGATAAACTTGTAAACATCTCACAATATAATGCCACAAAAACTCAAACTAGAGATTTATAAATCTCACATCAAGAGCTCTCTGACCTTTTTAAATCACAATGGAGACACTAGAGGCTCCACAAAGCTGTAGTGTCATTATATTCCCTTCATAGTTTACATGCTCGTGTTAAATCTACCCTCCTGAAGAGGCTTTCCCCTCCTCGTAAAAAAACAGATATTCCTCCCTTTCCCCAATCACTTAACTTTCCATGTATCATGCTTCTGATCAAGTGTGATGTGGCTTTTAATGAGGACATAATTATGCGTTTTGCCAGTGTACTCTCCCTAACAAAGTATATATAATGCATCAGAAAAGATAATAAGCTATTGACAGAATTGGGTCATTGACCGGAGGCAAAATGGTGATGAATTATTCCCTTTCATCTTCACCGACCAGGATTTACTGTATGAATGCCCATGAATTGTTTTCTTCTGTGCTGTTTAAATGGTATAATTTGCTCTGGAGACCTGTCTCCGTGTATTTGATGTGAGGGCCTGCTGAAGAAAAGAGTCTTTGGCCTCAATTTGCACCTGAAAGCCCCCAGTCCTCTTGTCTCCGTTTAATTACGACAGTGAATTCTCCACAACTTTCTTGCTTCAAAACAATCATGTAGTTATTTGGTTCTCTTCCCTCAGAAATCTCTCTGGCGCTTGCAAATACTCCCACACATTTCCCAATGCTGGTCCCTCCACATCAGATATGCTCTCTAGACAATGTACTGGTGTGCAGAGCAAGGAAATGTAAATGACTTTCTTGTTCATTAATTATGCTATAAAAATGTAAATTGCTTTGGTGACAAAAATGCAAATGGGACTAAGATAAAAGTCTCTTGTGCCGAAGGAGAACGTATGAAACATTTATTTTCTCGAAGTGTGGCTCTTTATTCAGGAAACTGAAGAGGAGGAGGACCTGTTAGTGGCTCCTGGCCTTCGACAGTGTGTCTGGGCTGGATCAGACAGCAACAGTCTCACAGAAAACTGACTTCATTAGAAGTTGAGGATCAGGAACAGGCATCTTCACAGCCTCACTGTTCAAGCTTTTACAGCTCAGTGTGACGAATCCCCCATCTGTCTCCTGCAGTCCTGTCATACCACCAATCACTGCCAGGGCTAATCACCACGGCAACAAAACAGAGGTGTTCCCTAGAAGCAGGGGAGCAGAGCGATGTTGAGTAAAATGCACACACACACACACACACACACACACACACACACACACACACACACACACACAGTTGATGAAAATGTGAACGGTAACATCATTGTCACCATGTTTGATTTCAGGGCAGCCACAAATATTCTTATCAAGGCTGCATTCAGGTCCTGTCTATCACAAAATAAGTGTTTCTTTCTTCTGAAGAGACAGCACCAGTCAGAGTCGGATCACGCAGAGTGACAGAACGTTTGCTGGTGCTGGAGACAAACTGTAAAAGCCGGGAAGATTTGTAGAGCATCAAACATTTGATAAAGAATAAATTCATCTATTATCATACAGCCATAAAGATTTTCCTTCGAGGAGTCTCCAATTAGAAGAGTGTTAAAGTGAGTCCAGACGGGAACCTGATGATTCAAAATGAAGGGGGGAAATCCGTGGTGTATATTCATCCATCCATTTTTTGTTTTATCTATGCCAATGAAATATTTACAGTGTTTAAAAAAGGTTAAAAATCATATTTCATAATCTTGTACTCTGGATTGTCATAGCTCTACATAAACATGGAAGCAGCATCTTAATTCTCTTGTCATTTGGCATTTTGTTGTCAATTAATTTGAACTGCTTGTACACTGCTGGCTGCTTTAATCCATAACTATAAGTCACATTCAATAAGATGAAAATGAAAAGATATTGAAATGTTTTGATTCTCTAATTGAATTACGTAACTTGACTCTTTAATGTTTAATGTACTCAGGACACCATGTGAAGCAGAACTGATGGTGTGTTGATTATTCTTACATAACTAGTCAAATAAGGTGACCCTGAAGTGCAAACCACAATTTAAAATCAAGAAACACAACAAAAAACACCTTCTTACAGAAAATCCAGGTACCTGCAATCAACAAGGCTCTTCGCTGATTGTACAAATGCAAACGTCCGTCTCTTAGCAGGAACGAAATGCTGACAAAACATGTTTTGTGATTTGCACTTCAGAGCCACTGTAGTCAAAAAATCTAAATTAAAATGCAGTGCACACTCTCTGAAATGTAGCCAGGTAAAAATGTAAAGTATAACACAAAATGTTAATGCGCACGTTGAGTGCAGGCACATTCAACCTTCTTGGTAAAAAAATTCAGCAAAAATTGACTTTGTTACTTTGAACCAATGCTTATTATTTAAACAGTTCAATTGTTTTGTCATTAGGTTTAAAAACTCCTAAGCACTCCTCCACTGTGAAGATTGCCTCTCTTTCTCATCATTAACACTAACTGAGAGCAATTAAACTGCTCATGAAGACATGCAGACATGAAATTTTGACTCGAGGACATAAGATGGCAATTTAAAACTCGTTGTTTTCGAATCTTAATCAGATTTCCACCCTGGCTTACAGCTGGTCTGGGTGCATCTCGGAGACATGC